TGTCTCACTCTGTGCAGGTAACTGAGTGTCTCACTCTGTGCAGGTAACTGAGTGTCTCACTCTGTGCAGGTAACTGAGTGTCTCACCCTCTTCAGGTAACTCTGAGCAAACGCAGTGTCTTTAGTCTCCCTCAGGGGATCATTTTCCAGAATGTTCTCGTCGTAGAGCAGGGACAGTTTGGTTGCGTCTTTACTGAAGCGTTCTTGACGAGTTCTCGTCAGACCACGAAGGGGACGACTGCGACCTGCAGGAACGGGGGACAGCAGGGACAAGGGACAGGAGAAATCCAGGACAAAAAGACAAAGACAGAGACTTTTGGTTCCAGCAGTGCTCTTCAGCAGAATCAAACATCTGTCTTGCAAATGGCTGACCTCGTCCTCGTCCAGGACACCTTCGTCCTCCTCTGGGTGTCCCCTCTTCGTGTGGTGTCTCCTCATCTAAGCTTGTCTTGAAGCTTTGCACCTGTCCTGCATCCTCACCCTTCACCCCGTCTTCCTCCTCTTCCTCCTCCTCATCTTCCTGTGAGGTCGGAGATTGATCGTCCTCAGAGTCTCCGTCTGCACAGAGACGCCGCTCTGCTGCTAGCCAAGTCAGCTGCTTCATCGTCTCCTGCAGGACACACGCAGTGGGACGAGACACGCTGGGTAGTTGTGACAGCAAAGTTCTCGATGACATCATCACTCACATGACAACTTCCTGTTTACCTGTAATTCTGGAACAGACAGCACTGACTCCTCTGATGCTGAAGACATCACTTCTTCCTCATCTTCATCTTGTGTGAGATCATCAAAATCCTCCTCCTCTTCTTCTTCATCATCCTCCTCATCCTCACCCTGATGGTCCTTGTCTCCATCTCCTTTTCTCTCTCCTCCCCCTGCCTCCCTCCCTTTGTCATCTTCCTCACTGGGCTGCTCCCCCTCTCCCTCCCCACATGTTTCCTTCATTTGTTGGTCTCCCTGTTCCTCGGTCTTGTCCGGCTCCTTGTGTCCTTCAGAGTTTCCATCTTCTTTTCCTCCACTGTGGCTGACAGCCATCACAGTCCAGTCCGGCTCCTGTCCTTCTGTCTCCTGCCCACATAGCTCCTTCTCTTCGTCTCCTGTGCACGATGACGGTGGACTTAGAGTTGAGTCAGAGTTTTCCTCTTCATCCCCCTCTCTCACCTCCTCTGACAAGGTGTGTGTGTTCATGACGCTCTGCTCCTGCTGCTCCCTTCTGATTGGAGCAAGAGGCTCTGGTCCCAGTGCATGCTGGGAGGTGTGGGTGGAACAGGAAGCAGGTGGCGTCCACACCATCTGATAAAGGAAATAGCCTGGCTCCTGTGCACAATGCATTATGGGAGTTGTAGTGCTAGGGCTGGACAGGGACGTGAGGGGCAAGAGCAGAGGAGCAGGGTTCGGTTGGCCAATAGGAAGGCCAGGTTGGATGACATTAGCACAAGCTGAATGGGCGGGGCCTGTTTGAACGGCAGCCAAAGGGGCGGAGCCACTGACTGGAGACTGAGTCAAAGGTTGGGCTCCTGACACAGCAGGGGGGTCGGAGCCACTTGGCTGCGTGTCCACCTCATGGCTCTCTGGAGCTTTGGCAAGAGGAAGCAGAGATGCATTGTGGGCCAAGGTGAAAAGGCGCCTGTGAGCAGAGCGAGTTGGGCGGGTCTTACTAATATAGTAAGGGTGGAGCCTGAGGGTGCAGCCAGCTGGGAGGGAGGGGGGGTAATGAGTAGTGTCCAGACGAGTTTTCTGAATGATCAGTTGACTGTTCTGCAGATTAAAAACATGACAGGTAACCTGTTGGTGACCTCGTCTGAGTTTCAGCACAGCTGACTGAGGGCTTGGTTAACACGACTTACACTTTCATTAACTTGTGAATTAGGAGTTAGATGACAGGTAACTGAGAGATTAGTTAACAAGTGAGGGTGGGATTAGTTAACATGTGAGGGTGGGATTAGTTAACATGTGAGGGTGGGATTAGATAACATGTGAGGGTGGGATTAGTTAACATGTGAGGGTGGGATTAGTTAACATGTGAGGGTGGGATTAGATAACATGTGAGGGTGGGATTAGTTAACCTGTGAGGGTGGGATTTGATAACATGTGAGGGTGGGATTAGATAACATGTGAGGGTGGGATTAGTTAACATGTGATTGTGAGATTAGTTAACATGTGAGGGTGGGATTAGTTAACATGTGAGGTGGGATTAGATAACATGTGAGGGTGGGATTAGGGTGGGATTAGTTAACATGTTAGGGTGGGATTAGTTAACATGTGAGGTGGGATTAGGGTGGGATTAGTTAACATGTGAGGTGGGATTAGGGTGGGATTAGTTAACATGTGATTGTGGTTCTGTTGACAGATGATTGACAGACTGGTTAACTGGTTATTGATGACAGAATAATTCCACATTAACACACTGGGGAGTATCTCCAGTCTGACCTTCAACCAGTTGGGCATGTTGGAGTAATCCCTGTCAACTGGGGGGCGGTGGTCTTCTGGCTGAACCCTGCTTGCAGCTGTGGGCAGTGGAGGGATGACTCCCCGGGTCAGGAACATCTGAACACATGTAGATATGTTTCCACACACCTGCTAACTGCACCGTTAAATCTAGAAAAGTATGAAGTCTTATCTCTGTGTGACAACAAACAGCTAAGGTGATCTTACCTTAATGACATTATGGCATGGTGCTCTGGGACCACTCATCTCTTGAATATGTTTCTTGATGTTCCATTGACTTTTACAGAGCAGGTAGGAGCTGATGAGTTGGACCGCCCCCTCAAAATGCTTCAGACCCAGAACGATCAGCCTGCAGCAGGGCATCAAGGAAGGCAGGTTATCAGGTAGAGTTTCACTTGTGTTCTCAGTCAGCTTGTGCTGTCTAACCAATCTGTTAGCTTCCTACACCAGCTTTTTCAAAACACCTGACTGAATCTGCATGGAAGTGGAG